TGTAGAAAGGGTACTGGGCTTTCCTCCTCCATGCACAGATGAAGAAGATACGTATGTGCAACAGGCACCACTGAAGTTGATAAGCTTTGGTTAGCTGTCTTTGAGGCAGACCATAAAAGATATCCAAGAGCCAAGCAGCACCCTTTCCTGTAAAATCAAGGTATCCTGGGGGAGAAGGACAACCCTCAGAAGCAGAAGGGCCACATCTTTGGAGCCTGTTGTGATAAATGTAGAGGACTCTACTGCAGTGATCCCAGAGTGACTATCTGCCCTATGAGGAGAGACTGAGGGAGCTGGGCCTGTTCAGCCTGGAGAAGAGAAGGCTGAGAGGGGATCTAATCAGTGTCTATAAGTACCTCAAGGGAGGCAGTGAGGAGGATGGTGCTGGCCTCTTTTCAGTGGTGGCCACCGACAGAACTAGAGGGAATGGCCACAAACTGAAGCACCAAAAGTTCCACAGGAACTTAAGGAAAAAATTTTTAACAGTGAGGGTGACGGAGCGCTGGAACAGACTGCCCAGAGAGTTTGTGGAGTCTCCTTCTCTGGAGACCTTCAAACCCCGCTTGGATGCAGTCCTGTGCCACGTGCTCTCGGTGACCCTTCGTGTGCAGGGGGGTTGGACTAGATGACCTCTAGAGGTCCCTTCCAACCTTAAGCATTCTATGATTCTAGGCTTTCCTCCTCCCTGCACAGCTGAAAAAGATAAGTATGTGCAGCAGGCACCACTGAAGCTGATAAGCTCTGGTTAGCTCCCTTTGAGGGAGGCTATAAAAGCCATCCAAGAGCTAAGTAGTGCTTTTTCCTTGTAAGATCAAGGTATTCTAGGGGAGAAAGGCAACTCTCAGTAGCAGGAGGGCTGCATCTTTGGAGCCTGTTTTGGTAAATGTAGAGGACTCTACTGCACTGATCCCAGAGTGACTTTCCTGCATTTCTTGGTGGGAAGTGTGACTCATGGAGGATGTGCTTAGCAGCTCTGTTGCTTGATTGTTCCCAGCCTTGTTGTCTCTGCTGTAGAAATATTCTCTAGGCTTAGCTGATCAGTGGAAATGTCAGACCTGCTTTTAGAGGGAGCAGAAACAAAAGCTGGGTTGATATGTCTGGGGTGATGTTCAGTTACAAGCTGCTTTCTGCCATGCCAGATGTTACTGTCCATGCAAAAGGCTGATTAAATACGTTAATCAATTTTTCTCGAAACATTTTATGGGCCATGATTTTGTGCTCCATTGCAAAGGTGATCCAGGATCAAACTCTGGCTCAGGGAAGAGAAGGAAGAAGTATTAGTGGGTTAGTAGGTCTTACTAAGGTGAGATCTTCTGCTGTGCAGAGCAGGGGTCAGCCACTTGTGAGGGGGGGGTTTGGGTCTTGGCCTCAATGAGTTTTCTGGAGTAATGTCGCTTAGCTGGTGTCAGCAGCATGATACTAAACTTGCTTTGTGTGCGAGATCAGCATATGCCCTTGAAGACTCCATCAAGACCCCTTGTGGCTAGACACAATGAGTGGAATTGGGTAAACTTGGCAATAGGAAACAGAGGGATGAAATACTCTGTTTTATACTGAAAATGTTCTGTGTTTATTTGCTAGGGCTGTCTAGGAGTCTAGCGCTCCTGTGTTTGGCGAGCATTTGCTCTTTGTTGTGTGTAGTTTCACCTATGCCAGCAGTTTTTATTTCTCTGTGAGGTTGGATTGCTACTAGTACGTGTAGATTTGCTGAAGTGTTCCCCCAAGTCTCTGCCTTCAGCCTCCTCATCAGCAAATAGATTAGCCATAGGGAATAAAAAGCTTCAGCACAGGATGGTGAATTATGTTGAGATGAGATGTTTTTTAATTTAATCATAGTCACAGTTGCATCTTGATAGTACTTTTTCTACAGAGGGAAAGATTCGTGAACTAGTGGGTACCAGAAAAAAGGTGGTAAAAACTATTTGACTTCATTGAAAGCACTAAATTTGCCCATTCAGCTGATTTGCATAGCAGGGTTCATCAGAATGGGTAAAATCAGGTTGCAAACAGCCCTGTGTATGTGAACACAACCATGCACCAACTGTCTTCAAAGCAGGTGCTTCTATCACTTAGTTTGAGCAGTCTAAATATTGGGTTCCCTTTAGCTTCCCACCACTTTCTGGCCCATAGGGAACTGTATGATCAAAGTCCCTTGCTAGGACTGTCTTGGTGTGGGAGCAAAGACACAGGTCCAAAGGCTCTTAAGATGTGATCTGCCCACTCTGTGCCCCTTGGCTCATCACAGCTCCTTGCCTGAGAAAGGCCATTAGACTCCCATTAGGTGCAATGGGGTCTCATTTAAGGGGGAGCTTGATCTCCAAAGAAGTGATCTGGCAGGCTTTCCCTCAGTTAAATTGGTTGACTTCCTTGTCCCTTCCCTGTCTGTTGTCCTCTGTTTTTGTGGTTTTGTTTTTTAGCATATGAAGTGCAACTGCCTCCTGTGTTGCACTGGGTAGCTCTCATATAGTCTTTCAGGGGAATGAGCTTCACACAACATTGCTTACTCTAGTTATTTAAAAATCATGAATTGACCACCCCAGGTAATTAAAGAGTACAAGCTGAAAACGCTTTTTCCTTGTTTTCTGGTTTGAGAGCTGTGCCCATCTTGCCAACTGTGGGTACATAAGAAATGTGCCTCCAAAGTGGGATTCACCTATTGGTCTTAGATCCTGTTTCATATCTATATAAACATATCCACCCTCCACTTATGTCACTTTTAGAATGAGATGAATTGTACTTCGGAGGTTCTTCTCTCCACACTCACTCTCGAGGAAACATAGACTGACCATCTTAGCCTCGAATGTCTCAATTTCTGCTAGAAAGCGGGTGTCTGCTGTCTAGTCATCTCAGTTGCTAGAGGATTAAGGATAAGTAGATGGCTTTAAATCAGACTACAGAGGGAAGGGAACTAAATCCCAGGCCCCATCCCAACTCTAGGAACCAAATCCTGTTATCCTGCATTTGCCCTTGCTCATTGGAGGCCGATGGCTCCTCCAGAGACCCAGGTTTGTTGGAAGCTCAGAAAAGTCCTGCAAGCATTTTGCTAAATCAGTTTAAAGCCTCCCAAAATTCAACCAAAAGGCTAGAAATCCTTGGATAAGATTCCCCTTGGCCTCAAGAGAAGAAATAACCACAGAGAATGAGACACTACCTTTTTTTCTGCTTTTCTTATGGGCTGCAAGATTTCTCCTATGAAACGTAGGGGGAATCACTAATATATGTTATCCTGTATTGTGATTAGCTAGTTTTGTCTAAAATACCATCAAGCTGCTGTCCCTTGGCAAAAGTTTGTGTGATTGGGTGCCCACCAAGACTTCACCACTTCAAACTGCACTTTTGCCTTTCCTTCAAGCCTCATGGAGATCTGGCTCACCTGGGAGAACGGTCTTGCCAAAGCTGTTCTTCATTGGGACAACTTGTGGCTAGTAGAGGGCAAGTAAATCACTGGAGTTGCCCTGCAAATGCCCAGCAAATACAGCAGCTGAAGGGCATCTCCCCAACATTGCAAGGTGCTGCTCAGTGAGGCTCAGAATCCCTATTTCATTTTTTGGTTTGGAGACAGCCTGTACCACCCAGCAGTGAACTGGGCATGGGTCTGAGACAGCAAATATAACCTACAATACCAGGGAGAGAAGTTCATCGATCTGGGTTTGTAGCTCTGTCGTGGAAGAGTTATACTTAATGCCTCCCTCACAGGGGCATTACAGAGGATTATTTTGTATTTAAGAGATGCTGCATATAATTACTTCTGCACTGCTTTGCAAACCATTTGTTTCTGCTAGCTCCTCTCCCGTTACTTCTCTTGCTGGCATCTGTCTTTGTGCATCTTCGGTTTGCATAAGGGCGCGAACAGAAAGTGCTGAGGGCTCCTCAGGCTGCTGTGCTTGCCTGGCCCTGTCTGTGGACAGACAGGAGATGCAAACAGAAGAGTTTTTAGGATCTGGGTCAAGACAATGTGTGCAAGCCAGGGGTGACACTTAGGGTTTCATGGTGCTGTTGCTCTTGGATATTTTGTTTAATAGGATTAAAAACAAAAAAAAACACTCAATAAGAATTTTTAAGAAGTTCAGGTGTTCGAAAGACTGCCTAAATTGCAGGCCTCCTGTCCTGGGGCAGATGCTCGGTGGAGAGGCACTTCTAGCAGCTCGCTTGACTAGTCTCATCCTTCAGCTCCACAGTGCCTGTCTAGTTTAAAAGCCTCAAATTTTGCCATGATGCCTGCAAATTCTGTGGGAAAGTAGGAATTAATGCACCGCATTGAGCCAAGGGCCCATCTAAGCAAGGATCTCAAGGGAGATAAAAGCCAGTGCCAGATGTTTTCAAAAAAATCCTCTGCTATGGATATTGTTCACACCTCATTTCTTCCTCATTCCCACAAGTTTAGCTGCTGATCTCATAGCAGTTTGTGCTGGGGTTTCTGTAGCCAGTTTTTCTGTGCACACAGATTATGAGACTCGCCTATTGAAAAGGGGTCTCGGCAAATATCCATGATTTTAATCCCTGTTCTCAGAGGTGAAAGGTGTTGAATTCATGCCTTGCAATCAGTGAAAGATGGTTTCTTAGAGGAGAGATTATTTTCTTGCCTTTGAAACATTTTCAGATGGACAAAGAAACATCTTGCATTGTACAGAAAGTCAACAACCTTTAAAAAAGAAAATCTGCGAGCCAATAGCCTGCAAGAGAGTAGTTTCGACAGCTGACCTTTTCTCTAATAGGTTGAGACTTTTTTTTTCACTTTAAGAAAGAGAAACCAAGCCAAAGCAAAGTTTTCATTAGTATGCATTTCATTTTTGAGCCAAAAAGTCACTCTGAATCAAAAAGCCAACAATTTTCCCCCAATGCTTTTTGAAGGTGGAAAAGTATTAGCCTAATTGGCATTTCCCTAGGAATCACTTTTTTTTTTTTTTTCCCCCATCAGAAAGTAATGGCCACGTGCCTAACTCTTGCCCCATCTCGGTGGCCGGGTGGCCTGCCATGACGGCCGCGCTCTTCTCTTGCAGGTGCTCCCTTTCAAAGGTCTCAGCATCCCCATGCTACCTCCTGCCGGCACTTCCACCTGGCTCCCCAAGTTCAGCTCTCGGCTGACTTTACCCTGCCTCCTGCTGTGCAGCCCCAGCCGGGGCTGATGCCCCACATGGCCCCTGCACACCAGCACAGCGGCCCCCTGCACCAGTCCCTGGCACCAGTGCCAGCCCTGTCCTTTCAGGATGTGGCAGGACCCCCCTTCCTACCTCAGGCGCTACACCAGCAATACCTCCTCCAGCAGCAGCTCCTCGAGGTCCAGCACCGTCGCCTCATGCCTCATCCCAGGTAAGGGCGTTTCATGCTTGGACAGATGGAAAATTTGTTTTCCAGGGGATATCCAGCAGGCTGGGAGGAGTCTCTTGTGCTCCTTGCTCCTGCAAGGCGTCTTTGGCTAAGGGTGCAACGCTGGTGTGGTGCTTGCTGAGTGTGGAGGGACTTCGGCAAGTTGGGCTGTGGACATCCATCCATTACCAGCTGGATAGACGAGGGGAGAGTGGTGGATGTCGTCTATCTCGACTTCAGCAAGGCTTTTGACACCGTCCCTCACAACATCCTCCTGGGCAAGCTCTGGAAGTGTGGGATAGATGAGTGCACAGTGAGGTGGATTAGGAACTGGCTGGATGGCAGGGGAGCAGGTGGGAGAGACAGATGGCAAAGAGCTGAGGTACGGACAGAATGCAGGAGGAATGTGTTCAATTCTGTTTTACCTGAAACGTTCTTGATACTGCTGGAACTGCACAATTAGGAAAAATGGCCTTTTCTAAAGAACATAATGAAATAAGACAAAATAAGTACAATACCTCCCCTCAGTGCCTTTTTTTTTTTTTCTTCTCCTCTTTCTCACAGTGTGATATTGCTAGTGTTTCAGTCCAGGTCTGATTTTTAAAGTAGTTATTCATGGAGCAGGTCGAGGGAGGTGATCCTGCCCCTCTACTCAGCCCTGGTGAGGCCTCATCTGGAGTATTGTGTCCAGTTCTTGGCTCCACAGTACAAGAGGGATGTGGAGCTGCTGGAGAGAGTCCAGCGCAGGGCTACAAGGATGATCAGGGGCCTGGAACATCTGCCCTATGAGGAGAGGCTGAGGGAGCTGGGCCTGTTCAGCCTGGAGAAGAGAAGGCTGAGAGGGGATTTAATCAGTGTATATAAATACCTCAAGGGAGGGAGTGCAGAGGACGGTGATGGTCTCTTTTCAGTGGTGGCCACTGATAGGACTAGAGGAAATGGCCGGAAACTGAAACACCAAAAATTCCATAGGAACTTAAGGAAAAATTTCTTAACAGTGAGGGTGACAGAGCCCTGGAACAGGCTGCCCAGAGAGTTTGTGGAGTCTCCTTCTCTGGAGCTCTTCAAAACCCGCTTGGATGCAGTCCTGTGCCACGTGCTCTAGGTGCCCCTGCGTATGTAGGGGGGTTGGACTAGATGATTTCTAGAGGTCCCTTCCAACCCTAAGCATTCTATGATTCTATGATTCTATGAAAGGACTTTTGCCAATGGCTCTGGCTATGTCTTTCGCGTGGAAATTAATGCTGCGTGCATCTAATTTGTCCCAAGTTAACTGCTATTGGCACTGATAGGAGAATAATGGCCACGACGCCTTGGATTTGTAGAGAACCTGCCCTGGTTCGCAGAAAAAGCAGTAGACTGAATGCATCTGAATGCATAAGCTAAGCTATTATAGCTTTTGTTTCAAAATCACATAAGATATTTCACCCATGTGTCCCATAAGTGTTTGGTTTTGTACATGAAGAGCTTGCCACTCTGGTCTAGACTTCCTGGCTGTGCTCTGGCTGCACGAGGAGTGAAGGATGCTGTTGATTTTCTGAAGCACGTTCAGTCAAAAAAGCAGCCTAAATTCACACTGGGCTGATGATTGCAAAGAGAATTACTGTTTTTCCACAGAGGTGGAAATGGATGTCTGGTCTTGTTCTGAGTACATTTATTGAGTGAGAGATTTAAATAAGTAGGATAGGAAGATGTTTTTGGAAACACATGGAAGCTGCTCGTGGGTTGTGCCCAGGGATCAAGGGCTGGTGAATGATCCCCTGTGGTAATGCTGCACTTGGGAAGGCTGCTGCAGGGCAGAAAAATCTTTTTTTCCCTATGCTTTCTGTCTGCAAATCATGCCTCCTTATCCTTATTTTGTTTTACATAAGCTGGATTTCAGGTGGATTTAATGATTAGTTAATAATTGAGTAGCAAATATATGAGAGGCTGAGGTGCTGATGATACAAGTGTTTACCTCTTAGTCATAAGCCAAATTCAAATAGAACCCTGAAGTACAATTCCATGCAGGAGCTGCTTCTGTAAATGCTGTTGGCATGATATCTGGATGCAGGTTCTTGGATAAAAGAGATTCTGGCATAGAAAAGGTCTTGCCTGGATTCAAGGCCCTTTTCTGCAAGCAGCCAGCACCAGCTGCATTGGAGGAAAGTGTCCAAAACCTTATGGGGTGGTGGGCACAGTCTTGCTGTCAGGAACCTGGTCTGTGCCTTCAAGAGAGGAGCCTCTGCTGTGGCTGCCCGAGAACTTTATCTAGCAGTTTGCTTCTCCATTTGCTCCAGCATTTTCCTTGAGACTTACTTTGTGGTGGCTTAATCCCCATCAACAAGCAGGGATTTAGTGCAGAGCTTGGAGTATGCCTCTGCAATGTTAATCATGCTTGTGCATCCAGCTTGCATTTCTTTAAATATAGAGGTTTTGGTAGGTGATGCTAATCAAGTTGCCCATGTTCTTCCTCTGAGTGAAGGTAGTCCAAAAGGACAAAAGTCATGAGGCAGGACTGGAGTCCCTAGGAAAAAAGCTTACAATATTTTCCACTGCTTTCTGTTCTTTGCCTGCAGAGGCACAGGGGGAGCCAGAGCCTAACCTGGTTGTCTGTTGTCCAGAGAAAGGTTGGATGGAGGAAGGAGGATGCCAGCAGCATCCTCCATGCCTCTCACGCTTACTTGTCTCCTCTTCCCGCAGGCGGGTTCAAGAGCACATCTCTGTCCAGACTCACCGCTTGCACCCCAGCTTCGACTTCAGCCACCAACTGCAAACTCCACAGCCCGTGGGGCCCCAGCCCAGGTACTTGGCCGAAGGCACAGACTGGTAAGTTTTCCACCTTTCCTTCCACCTAGTCTTTTGAATGAGATTTTTGGGGAAAAAATCCTGAGTGGGCTGGTGGGATTAGCCAATGTCATCCTGCCTCGAAGCCTTTGCGACTCTTTAGATCTAATGCTGGCAACATGTAAAGAGGTAAAATTCGTTGCTGGGAGGGCCACGAGTGCATGCTAAAGTCCTATGCAAGACTGAGCAAGCACATCATTTTGCTGTAGTATTTTTTGCAAACGTTTTGCTAGAGGTGTGTGATAGCACTAAGGCATCAGCATTCCCAAGCTCGCTCCACCCATGGATGTAGAATGCACCTTAAATAGCAACTTCCCCAGGGAATTTTCCTTTTGTAGGGCATCGCCTCCGGCAAATCATTGTCTAGGGGCTTTTTTATGCAGACCAAAATCCCCATCTGAACAAGATCTTCTGCAGTCAAAAAGCACTCAGAAAGAGCAACCTCAATCCTCCTCATGGTCTAAATGAGGGAGGACAATGCTGCCTTAAATAGGGGGCAAAATAAATTGATGATAATGATAAAAAAAAAAAAAGTTAATGATTTTTGCACCATGATGTTTGCTATCCTGGAAAAGTCAAAGTAGGAAATCAGTGGTTCTGTTTCCAGAGCAGGTTTTAAGCTCTTGCATGATTACAGAGGTATGAGGCCCTACTTTGAAAATGAGAAAAAAAAAAAACACAAATTTTTGAGCAGCTGCTTGTTAGCTGAGTGAAGTCTTTTCTGTGCTCTGAATGGAAAAAATATCCTGCAAACACGTAACTAGAGATGATCACAATGTTTATGCATGAGGGAGGCAAAATAAAATGGCACAGGAAATCTCAATTATGGCATTTCTGAACATGAGTGCTTTGCTCTGCAAATAGAGAGTGAATTGAACACAGGGTTCTTTCCCCTCCAGGGGTTGTAATACACAGCCTAAAATATGGACAGATCCTTCTGCCTTTTCTTTTTTTTCTCAGGTGTTCCCATTACTGGCACTCCATGATATGAATTTGACCAATAAGACATTGTTAAGATCAGTTATTGGGAAAAAGTGGTTCAATCTGGATGGAGTTTCTTTCCATCTCTCCTAGTGTATCTTGTTTTTAATTAAAGTCATTAGAAGATTCTGATAAAGCATCACTTAATGTTTCCCTCCTCCCTCCCAGCCCACATGCTGTCACACAGCCTTGTAAAACTTCAGGAACATGGATGGCAGGAAAGCATATCGTGTAAAAAATATATTTATATATATATAAAAATCACCCAAATATCTATATCTATCTATCTATCTATATAAATATAGATATATATTTGGGTGATTTCTCCTTGGGGCATTTGTACAATTTTTCACAGTGACTGATGTGAAAACATTTGTCCAATGTGGCACTGGTGCTGACTCAAAGATGATGGTATGCACCCTCATGTGAAATGGAAGGCAGGAAGAGCTGCAGATGATTCGTCATTTTGGACAGCCAAGCCTTGATTAAAGCATTCTTGTAAAGAAGCAATTAACTCCTATCTGGTTATTTAAGTGATCTTCTGAACAGACTTTTAGTGACTACCATCCAATCTTTTATCTTGGGCCTTATCTGGCAATTATTGGTTGTTGGGGGCCTGTGCAGTGCAGCTGTAGAAGTTCTTGAATCTCACAGTTGAGCATCAAGATGCTGTACATGGAGCACAAGTGGGGAGATTTTGGTTGGTTTTGATTTTCTTCAGCTAATGTGCTCTGCTTGTCCATGTCAAAACACTGGGACAACACTGTTCTATGCAAACCTATAGCATCACTTTAAGAGTGTAAAAAATCCTATCAATTTTAAGAATCAGATCACAACTGATTGAGCCATTCAGCAGCTTTGTTGCAGCAATGGCTCGAGCAAGTTAATTGGCATTAGTCTTTGAGAGGGCTCTTTGCCCCTGGATCTCAAAGCAGTATTATTGCTACTGTTTTGCAGTAGAGAATTGAGAAGGCAGAGAGGAGATGGTCAAGGTCATGCATTGGGTCAGCAGAAAGGCTGGGAAAGGACCCAAGGTCTCCTGGTTTCCAGCTGAGCTTTCCATCCACCTGACATTATAATGAGCTTATAATGAGCAAAGTTCAAGTAAAGTTCAGCTGCCATGGGGCAGCTACTGTGCGGCTTATCTGCGGCCCAGCACAGGGAGTGCAACAGAGCTTGGCCGCGGTGTCTTCACTCCGCTCCAGCCTCCGTTACTCCCCTTTGCAGCTGTGAGGCGGGCAGATTGTGCTGCCTAGGGAACCATGGAGGAGCCGAGTCCGTGGGTACCAGCCATCCTGGAAGTGGCAACTGTGTATCACCCCAAGCAAGCTTCTGTAATGCCAAAACTTCTGTTAGGCCCTAGTTTTTCTCTCAGTTCCTGCTTTCAAACAATTCTTCCACATTATTCACCCTGTGACTATAGTCACTCAAGCTTCCCATGAAGTTGTTTAGGTGTTAATATTACATGGCCTAAACATGATGCAGTTAAGCAAGTGATTGCACGTTGGTACATTAGAAGGGGGGAGTTACAAAAAGGCAGGGAGTCTAGTTCTACAAGAATATATATATATATATATATATACAGAAATTATTGTAGTTACAATGGTAAGTAATGATTGCAACAAACTTTGTATCCACCCCGTGACTCCAGTTACCGTTGTATATTGAAATTTAGTCTCAAGTTAGAGTCTTAGTACTCGGGACATTGATTGGGTCATCTGCTTGTGAAGGGGTATAAGCGGTGAACTGAATCATCTTTACGTTAATAGCTTTCATTATAGTTGATTTTACACAGGATATTGCTATACTTATGAAAATTATCATCACAATGAACATCACCACATATTCTATTAAACTTTGGATCCAACCAGTGACACCAAATCCAAACCAACTAAACACCTTCGCCAACCAGGTAGTGTTCATTGATTCCCGGAGTTCGTGGGTGTCCTTTGCCACCTGTTGTATCTTCTCTAATTGGATATCGAGGTCCTGTGTAACATTAGGGATATAAATGCAGCAGTCGGTACTGGAGAGGTTCAGGTAGCCACAAAGTCCATTTTGGTGTAACAGAATCAAATCCAGTGCCATGCGGTTCTGAAGTGCAATTTTTTCTACTTGATAGGCTAGCTTACTTAACCCCATAATTGCTTGCACAGTAGCATGACCATATCCAAAAAGGTCCTTCCATCTAAGATGGATCCTGGGAAGAGCCTCAAAACTAAACTTTGGTTTCTTCTTTCTTATGTTCCACAGAGCCCTTTTTCCTCAAACCCAAACTTTGTTCTTTTCTCTTTGATCCCAACATCTCTCCCTCACATCTTTTAACATGCATATACCTTCTCCAACATTCTGTAACACATCTAACCATACCTGTGCTAAATATTTAGCCCTCATTTATTATTTACTGTGTGCAAACTGGAGCTCCCAGGACCCAGGTCATGATGGGAAGACTCTGGTTTCTTCTCAGTCCTGCCATCCCTCTACATGTCCTGACAGTTCTATTTTTACTGGTTTTGCTTGAGCCATTCAGTGGGGTCAGAGAAGAGCCCTGCTCCACATGGGGCACAATGTTGGGAGGCCCAAGATACACTGGCGTTCAGGTAATCCAGCCCATAAGGTGGTATACATATTGCCATCACTGCAGGCCCAGATCAAACCAGCCAGAGCATCACCAGAAGCTATATGGCAATCATTACGAAGCACAAAGTCTTCACTTACTGATTTATATTTTATGCTGTGATTATGGCACAGACAGCCCATTTTTAGGGAAAT